CACGAGCTAAATTTCTCGCTTGTTAACTTCATCTTCAGATAAGTAGATAAATCATATACTGATCAACGTGGGAGAAGATGGGCTTTCAAATGAGCCCAAAATACAAAAACGACCGGCAATCAGAAAAGTTAGAAGCATTTTCTCAGAACTTTTTCCGAACCTATATATTTTATGGCATTGAGTTGGTGAAAGACAGAAAAGATGGGTAAAAAAAGAGAACAAATTTCACTGACACTTGTACGAGTATCCATGATACACTTATTGCATGGATCATACTTGAGATATAACAGATAAATATACGAATCTAGTCTTGAGTATGATGTTCTTTGACCTGACGACTTGAATAAGTATTGGATGAAGAAGTTTCGTTCTCCCAACACTGCTATATCCTCAGCTCTCGAACAAACCTCTGTAATTTGATATAATCACAAAGGACAGTTCTACTTTCCTATTCTTAAATATGCTTCCTTCTCAACCGCGATCGTTTTTTTTCCAGCCATCATAAAATATGGCAGAGCCATCTTACCACCTCAGCGATAACGCGCTTGTAAAACGTCCTGTATTCAGGGTGCGTAGTAGTCTTGCCATTTTTTTAAGATTCCCAACATGAAAAATCTGGATAAACAAATGCATCGATTCAGTTAAAGGAATAATTACGTTTATTAGATCTAATGATTAACGACAAAAACAGAACAGTCGAGAACTCTAATGTTTTTACTGCTTTTTCGCAGTGTTATGATGTTTCATAGATACCTAAGCAAATTGAGTGGTGAGCAAAAATACGACCTCACCGGGAGTCGAACCCGTGTTTTATCCATACTGGGGCGCGTGCTACCACTACACCACGAGGCACAATTGCGCCATTTACTCCGTATCTTTGCTCACTACTCAATTCGCTTACCTATATATGAAATATCATAACACCGCCAAAGCAGTAAGAATAATAGAATTCTCGAGTATTATATCTAACAGTGACTATCAGCTCAACTGGGTTCATAAAGCGAAATCGAATACCCGACCAAGCATGTTAAGTTTGGTGGGTGATACTAGCGTGGAGATGTTGAAGATGAGTGGTAACGCAAATGTGCCTCGGTGGTGTAGTAGTAGCCCGAGTCCCTGTATGGACGAAACGCGAGTTCGACTCTCGTCTGAGGTATAAAAAGAGCGGTTTCTGGACAAAGTTGAACAAAGAAATATTCAGTATGAATGGAAGAAATATCAGTGCTAATACTAACGAAATACAAGATTGACAGAAGTTTCTACGCAACCCGTAGACATTGCAAAGATTTTCGTGGATACTATTTCTTCTGAAGTGATTCTTAAAGCATTTGTTTTTACTGTGAACGTAATCTTTTGAGTAAATAGATATAAAATTTATTTATTTACAGTGAACAGTTTCAGTTGAGTGAATTTTTCTACTCAGTGAATGTTTATATATATATATATATATATATATATATATATTCAGGACGAGAAAATTGTCAATTTTGTATCTTGTCAATTTTCGCAATAACATAGCATCTTTCCACCAATTTTGATACTTTCAACGATCTCTTTGTTCAGTAGCATAAAATGTGTTTCATTTCTTTTCTATTTTCAGTTGCACTTGAATTATGGATCGTGAAAATCAACGTATCACATTGGCTGAGTTGCACAGGACGCGAATGAAAGAGGCCAACACTGAGAAAATAACCAGCCTTAATACAAGAAGTGGTTACAGAGCCGTGAAACGTTCCATAGAGACTGAGGGTCTGTGAATCCAAATAATAATTACGAGATATGTTGAGATTTGAGCGTGGTCTCAAGGAAACACTCGAAACGAAAGGTGTGATATAGTGACGGCATCAGCCAAGAGCAGTCAAGTGTGCAACACTGTCTAATCGGCGATAATTTCACTTCACAGACAGTGTAAAATGTTCGTCGTCTCTTACTCTTAATGTAGGGGACTGAGCGCCCCAAGAGGATTGGCTAAAGACGAAGGTACCGCCCGATTGATGAGACCGTCAAGGTCGAAACACGTGTATCGGGCTCTATAAGTCAGCCCATTAAACAGACCACATGACATGTTGGCTCGAATAATAATTACGGATATGTTAAAATTTGAGACGTGGTCCTAAAGAAAAACGCTCGAAACGAAAGGTCTGAGAATCGTTCTCAAGAAAGCGTCCATCCACTGCGTCTGAAAGCATTCGGAATATCCGTTGCCAGATTCAACAAAATCCGGAGCGTTTGAGGCGCAAATTGTCAATGACTCGATATCAGCGAGTCGAAGCACCCGAAACACTGTCAAAATGTCGAAGTTGCGCCTCTCTTGTTCACTTTCTGAACGAGATATGAATGAAGAGCGGCTTTCAATGGCTCTCCGAATGATTCGTTTGATCGCTGATGCTGATTTGTCTGAGGGAGAGCAGAACTTTTTCCGCACAATGAATATAAATGTGTACATATACTGTATATACATACGTTTATATATGTGTATATATAAAACTGCAAAAATTCTTTGTTTAGCAGTCATAGCATTCATGACGTTACAACTTTATAGCTCATGAAACGCGCCTCAGATTTACAGTTTTGGACAACACTCAGTGCTTTTGAATACGTAGTTAGATGAAGGTAACAATCCTATAATAGTGTTATAATGAAGAGTTGTTGTAGAATCATGCCAAGAATTTCTCTTTGTTATCACTCACGTGTAAATAAAACGAGACCTGATCGTCGTCAAGGGCAAAGGTTAGTCTAACGATGTCGAGGAAGGCCAATTCATATTCTATGTATCTGTAGCAGTCCTCAGTTTATGGAGTTTCGATGAAGCTAATATTTTTGAGTGAAAAATAGGTTCGCGAAGATGCATGTGTCGATTAATTATGAACAATAGTTCTGTAACATACTGTAATCAGAAGCCTGAGCGGTACCATTTCCAGAATAACATTCATTCATCAATTGTCCTGCAATCTGAATTGCACTTTTGCCAGCTGCCTTGTTTTTCAACTATCTCAATATCAAACCAACAGAACGATTTCATCTTGATCGGCTTGAAAACAATCCCTATTTTCTACATAGTCATATTATTAAGTGAATATAACCTCCAATGCACTTTGTTAGTGCTCACCTGACAATATGTATCGGCGTAAAATTTCCTCTAAGCCCACTAATTGGTCAGCATAATTGTGATCGCAGTGCGATTTTCAATCAATGTTTCAAAAGGCCGGAAAAAGTACCCTTTAGAGCTTACATCGGTTCCTGAGAGCAAAGAAGTCGGAGTTATCAAAAGAAGCTGTGAAGTGTTATCAAAGATTATGTGCATAAAATTATATCTATTATTCGTTTTGCTGGTTTTGAATAATCTCTTCTCTTCACTGCTCAACTCTCAAGTGACAACCTTCACATAAAAGCAACTTCTACTAATGTTTGTTGCTGGCACGTGCGTGGTTTAATCCATGAAAAAAACAATATAATCGCTGACCACAGTCATCCGTGCCAAACAGAATTATTTTCATCACGTTTTCTATGATGATCATCTTCGTCATTATCTCGCACTAGACTTCATTGCTTCGAAAAAGACTCAAATCCCTGGATTCAGCCTCACGCGTTCTATAATTTCTCATCTGATGAAAATCTGAAAAAAATCTCATGATTGCAAGTAGTGGGTTTTCAACATAAAAGCATATGTACGGTCTGTAACGCGAAACGCCCATGATCGTTAAATCTATTTGGGCCTTTTTTTAATACTCGAAATGGATAGTATTTTCAATGCATTGCGCACCTTTAAGATGTTTTCTATATTCCCAAGAGAATTGGAGTGGCGAGCAAAAACACGACCTCAGACGGGAATCGAACCCACATTTCATCCTATCCGGGGACGCGTGCTCTACCACTAACACCACTGAGGCACATTTGCCCGACCACTCATTCTTCAACATCTCAATATTAGCTATCAGCCACCAACCTTTGAACGGGTTTGGTCGGGTACGCGATTTCGCTTTATACACCTAGTCGAGCTGACAGCTATTCTAATTACTAATATATCCTTTCATCATTATTTGAGCCAACATGTCATGTGGTCTGTAAGGGCGTCTAAACACTCGAGATAAAGGTATAATTATGATAAAAGTACCAGCCAATGAGCAATCGAGTGCACAACACTCTGTGTTAGGTGAATGTTTCACCTGAAACAGAGTGTAAAGCGTACGTCGTCGATAACTATATATAAGGAAATGTGACGCTCCCGAGAGAACTGACTATAAAAAGATCGACAGACGACGGGTTTCTGCCCGGCTGATGAGTCTGTAAGGACGAAACACGTGTCTCGGGCTGTACAAGAACCCTTACCAGACCACATGACATGTTGGCTCAAATAATGATCAAAGAATATATTGAAATTTGAGCGTGGTTTAAACAAAGCACTCGAGATAAAGGTCTAATTACTAATACTCGAAATTGATAGTATTTCCAATGCATTTCGCACTGTTATGACGTATCTGTACTTGAGATATAATCGATTTCACAAATCGGAAATGCATCTATCTCATAAACATCATTAAGCATAAAAAGGACTACGCGTATGTATCATGGTGACGTCGGTGTGAATTTTATTGACAAGCGAGCGAATCCATAACGATCGCAGGACATGTGTTGATAGATCGTTGAACACACTTTTCGCTAGCAGTAGAAACGGCATAAGAACCACTCTACCACATACATTTGTAATTATTCATTGTCACAAACAGATGAGGAAATGCATTTGTAACGTAACTATGTGTAAGAAGAAGCAAATAGCTCTAGCGTTCATGGTGTCCGACTGAGTGAACCGTAAAAACTGAGAAGCCTAGATACATTAAGGCAAGTTACAGACTCACAAAGACCTGCATGTGAAGACATCCACTGCTGCATTTGCTGAATTGTTAGATTTTTTTACAGGTTTTAATCAAGAAACTAATAATTTTGAGCCAGCAAAGTCTAGATGCTATACAGGCGCCTATTCGTCTCACCGAGATTCATTAATAGCACCGTCGTCGGTTCAGGCGATCCCTCAAGCTATACTCCTTTGAAAAGGAATCGACGCCAAGCAATAAATAATTAGAAATTGATTATTGTTTGAGCAAGGTCTGTAAATAACGGTCGGAATGAGAGTGTTGGTGAGTGATAAAGTATTAAAACTGCTGAAGCAAAGAAGACGACTGCCTCAGAAACATAATGAAAATAGTACATTGCTGGAACGGATGACTATGAGCAGGAACTTATAATGCCTTAACATAGATCAAACCCCGCAAGTATCAGTAGCAAGCATCAGCAAAAGTTGCCTTGGTGTAAATATTACTTCAGCTCTGAGCTGTGGAAGAGAAGAAAATGTTGTAACGCCAGCAAAAGGCAAAAATTCATGCAGACAAAATCTAAAAACCACCAGCTTCTCTACTGAGAGCCTCGACTGTCTCGCTAGCAGGAATCGGTTAAGCTCTACATAGGAGAACTTTTCTTGCCTTTCTAGAGCATGAATTAAAATCAAAATGATGCTAAGGTTCACAAATCATTCTGGCCAATTAGTGGGCTGTAGGGAAATTTTACATTAACCGATATCGGTCGGTGTGTATCCCGAAGTGCATGCAGGGGTACATTCAGGCAGTGATGCGACTATATTGAAAATAAAAATGTTTTCGACCAAACAAAACAAAACTGTTCTTTGTTCGCTCAACAATGAAATTGATTGAAAAGTGCAGCAAAAAAACAGTGGAAAGCTGCATAAAAGGGACAGCTGATGGAAGAAAATATCACTCTGAAAATGGTACTACTCTTTCTTCTGATTACGGTATGTTCTCAAATTTTCACAATCACTCGTGTACCTACATGACCGCAAACCTACTTCTAATCGAATATCATAGCTTTATCTTAACTGCATAAAATTAAGGACCGTTCCAGGTAGATAGACTATGGCTTGGCTTCTTCTGAAGGTCCAATATTTCGAAACTAACTTTCTCCTATGACGGCTATCATACATTGCATTGGTTCATACGTGATTACGGATACCAAAGAAAAACTCTGGCATAATTTTTCACAGCTCTTCATTAGAGCAGTGCTATGTTCTTATAACTGCGTATTGAGGAATGTTGAGTGTTATGTAAATGGGAATAGAGCTGTAGCGTCACAGCATTGACATATAAGCGGTGAAGTAAAGAATTCTCGTAGTGTACATGTATACGTGAAATAAAAAACATTCACAGCATATATATATAATATATATATATATATATATATATATAGTCAAATAGCTGTTAGTCCAAGTGGACTAAATGCCGAAATCTACTTACCAGGCCAAACCCGCTGACCGTTGGTTTGCTGACAGTTTCGATACCTTATATCGCAGAAATGAGAACGATGGCCTCGGTGGTGTAACGGTAGCACGCGCCCTTCTTATAGGTGGATTCGACTCGCTCCTGAAATTCACAGTTTTGGATATCAGTCAACATTCCTGGATAAAATAACTCTTTCATAAGCTTTTGCCACTTATATCATTTATAGATGGCTGACGTAAGCTCAGTACTTTTGAATGAAAATAATTCGAAAATGAACTTTTTTCATTTATTCGTCTGAGAAACGACAATCTCAAGAATAGTAAATACTTTCAGACCTACGTCTTCGTAGTCCTGGACGCATCAAGTAAGTTCCATTCAAACAATCAATGTAAAAAATGTTCTCAGCACTGAGATTCCTTTTAGTGTGCCCGGATAGAGATAACACCGATGAAATGCGTGAGTTGTATTTGAAGTACCATAATGATGCGCGATCACGACTGGCAAAAGGGAAAGAGCGTGATCTTAATCGCCAACTTGGGCCAGCAAAAAACATTTACAAATTGGTAGGTCGCTTCAGCTTTTGATCCTACAACTTTTCATAGATGCGCATTTTTTCAGAGCTGGAGCTGTGAGTTGGAAAAGATAGCAAAAGAGCTTGCACAAGGTTGTGGTTATGACTTTACACGACACCGATCGTATGGACAGAATAGAGAGACGTGAGTGACCTACAGAACAATGAAGCATTAATACTAACAAACTAATGACCTTGAGTGGATAAAAATGCAGTGAATGCAAGCATTTTTTTTCGTTGCTCAAAATTAGTGAGAAAAACTACGATTAAGCTACGTTTCTTGCGTATCATCTCAACGACGGAGATCTATTGTAATTTTGTGAGAACAAGCAAGTGCTGATGCACAAAAGCGTGAGGTTTACATGTTACATGAGGGCGTGGTATTGAGCTATTCGAACGCTTTGACAGAGAGCTCTCGTAATCATTTTATTCGCGCTTTTCAGCTCAGTTTCAGTCTCATATTATGCTTTCAAACTTTGGCGCCATTTTTGAATAACCGATGATGCGGGCATCTCTCTCAATCTCTGAATTTTTAGATTCTTTGGTAGTTATGGAGTAAGCACATTTGACGTGAAAAAGCACATCAAACAAGCACTTGATAAATGGTGGGGCAAAGTGAAGAACTCTTACGTGAATCAAGACAACAAATATGATCCTTCATTGTTCGAATTTTCAAATGTGAGTTCTAAATTGGCGTTGAAATTGTTATCAAGCACTCTGAATGATGATTTTCAGATGGCCCACTATAAAAACACTGAACTTGGATGTGCCCATGTAATTTGCCCGGATCCTTCTTTCTCTAAATTACAAGTACTATGCGTCTACAAGCGACTGTTGGTTTTTAGTCTCAATACGCTCATATACCGTATTCCATTTTTTGTAATTCAGAACCATCATGAATTGATATTTAGTGGTTACATGGGCGGCTCTATCATGTGGCGTAACGGAAAGTACTGTCGAGTTGGTAGCGATTGCACTATTTTCCCCAATTCAAGATGTGAAAACGGACTATGCGTCCGGCCGAAAGAGCAGCCAGGTAAGAATACAGCAGAACTACACACTAACAGAGTTAGGTGATTGTGATGCTGCGAAGCTTCTACAATCTAATGAAGACGAATTAATGCTATGTATTACATCAGTGCTCAATATTTTGAATGATTCATATGGATAAAGCATTGTTAGATGCTATGCCATGATTACTTCATCTTTGCTTCTCGTATTAGTTTGACGAAAGTTTTTAGATAGTGGAGCATCTCAGATTTGTGGAAGTAACGGAGTAATGACCGATGCAGTACGAAATGCCTTCCTGGATATGCACAACTTTTATAGGTTTGTGTTGAGCTGATATATAGACTAATATAGAGCATTTTCTGATCCGTCACTTATTTCATTCGCTTCGTCTCTTCATATCCGCTAGTGACTATAGCCTTCAAAGTTTGCGCACATCTCAGTGTAACACGGTTAACACAATGCTAGTAAAGTCGTTCAGTGATTGCAAGGTCGTGAAATGGCACGCACAAGACCTGCTAAATGTCGAACTTTTGTTCAGCAGCTGCATGTAGTGAACCCCAAAAAAACATTACTCATATGACAGGCCTTTACGCATATGAAGCCCAACTTTTGCGCATAATGGATTTAGAGGAATGATCGAAAGAAAAGTCTTCAGATTCGCACGACATATGATGTAGGCTTTTATCAAACTGCACAGAAACTGAAACAGTGGGAATTGGTTCCAGCATTTTCTCCTGGTACTACAAATTTTCTTCCTCATGGATTATCGACTTCATAATCGGAATATTGTTCACCCTACTTCAATATTTCGTCTGTCACGCCTTCAGTAAACTCATGGGCATTTTTTTCTGGATGAATGACGATAGAGGGAGATTGTGTCCTTAATCACAATAAATTCCACAGTGCAAAAAATTCGAAAATCTTTTTACCAAACGGGTATTTTTCTTATACAATCGGCATGATGATCGTGAAATGAGCGTAAAATAAATGAGAGTTCGAATGCACCTTTCAGGTCCGTTGT